ATCGGGTCGTCCCCATTACATCGATTTAGTTCGACTAGTTGATCTAAACGAGGGAAGGAATGCGTGTTCCAGAACAACTACCCACTGGCTTCTAGGTTTTTTTTTGCAAAGTCGGTAAAAATTACCTGATTGCAGAAATCCAACCATGGAACGAATGTTCAGTTCCCGAGCCATTCACCCAGGGGAGAGAGACGGCTGTGATGGAGAACTTTTGAACATTCCAGAACAAACAGAACGGCTTAACTGGAGAATACTAGTACTACTCCTCCATTAGTAGAGTAACTAAAAGTAGTAAAGGGAAGTGGGAACATGTTCAAGTCAGATAAAATTTGGTATAGATAGACTTGGTCGACTAATCGACTACTAATCTACTGACTAGACAAGTAAACTACTAGTAACTAACTTACAAGAATAGATTTCCTACGCGGACGACCAGAGAGGAACGGAACGGAAGGAATGAACGAAGGAAGGAAAACAGGAATGACGGGGGAGGAGAGGGGGGGAAACCAATCTAACACGGTTGCTTTGATTGAAGGTTGCCGATCGCGATCGTTGTAATCAAATCAACCAGGTTGTCATGGACCGACCAGAGAGACAAGAGCCACACCCCTCCATCGAATTCATCCGGTGGCGTTAAGGAGGGGCCCCCCCCAAAAACCCCTCTTTCCTTCCCTTATTCTTCTTCTTCTCCCTCTATTCTATTCTGTTTCTATTAATTAAAATTGATTGCCCGTATCCTCTCTAAATTATTCTTCGTTCCTTTTTGACAATCATTCCACTCACATCCACACCTACCCACCCCATCCATCTATCCATCTCGGGGACCTCGTTTGCGGGATCTTACCTACTTTGCTTAGTAGATAGATACGTAGATGAAATTGGAGTTACTTCATTTCCCCTTGGCCCTGCTTATAGTAAAGTGTCATCATCAATATCATCATCATCGTTCATTTCCCGGCCCCTCTCTTCTACAGATTTGATCCTGACTACTACTAGTTAAAGTAACTACTTATACTTAGATAGTTAGTCCCGTCTTCGGGTCGCCGTTCTATTGACATTTCTAAATATAAATTGGTCGTTCCCAGTTCCCACTCACCGAGCGGGAAAAATTCGATAGCAACACGCACTACGAAGTTAGTATAGTCCTACTACATGCTGTCATATTGCTCCAACTACTACTACCACTACTACTACTACTACCGGCGATAGCAATGATGCATATCCCGAATCCCGAAAGATGTGGATATATACCAATACCTCGATTTTAATTAAACAACTAATCAAAAGAGAGACAAAAATAATTACTACTACCAAGAAAAGTAAATGAAGAATCATCGATCCGATCGGAAATAGTAGCGAATTTCCGTTCGTCTCTATTACCTGCTTACTTACTACTTACTATGTACTAAGATCTACATCTACCTGTCAGTGGTTGTCAGCTTTCGTCAGTCCAAAAGGTGCAGTACTAAAGTTTCCAGTTCTAGATCCCATAAGCCGGGTGTATCCGTGGTTTCCTATCCACGTGTTATTCGGGTCCAGGCTAAGCAAAACTGTAACTAAGTGAACTAACTAGGTGAGATTGGAATCGCCAGCCCAGGAATTAATTCAACATTCTAATTTGTTGGAGGAAAGTTTGGTACCGAATTTGATGGTGTATGTATGTATGTATGCTGTTATTGCAAATTTACGTGTGTGTGTGTGTGTGAGTATTGTTTAGACAAACAGGTTCCTATTCTTTACTTTCGAATAGTTGTCTTTTTTCTTTGGTTGGGTTCTATGTTCCTTTTTTTTTCCTTTTACTTTGTAGGTTTTGTGCTGGTGAGGTGTAGTGGTAACTTTTTGTGATGATATATATATATATATATTAAGAGAGTTTGATAAAAACACGAACTTCGTGACGACATCATCCTAGTACCAATATACTATCAATACTTCTAGATATTACCAGCAACACAAACACTTATCGTGTAGTAGTAGTAGATCACCGATACACCTACACTTTACATAGTACAGACCAACCTGCAGGTCATCCCAAGCTGTGCGGTATGGGCCGGTGCGAGATACTACTAACTGGTAACACGCACCGAGCGCATCTGGACCACACACACACACAGATACATATATCCACACACCAGCAGCAGCAGCATAATACATATATCTAGCTTCGCTAGATCGGTCATGCGGATGCAGTACTCCAGCATCCCATTAGTGGCTTATGCGAAATACTACTCATGCATCTACTACTAGTTACTAAGTACGTCTTCTTCATGTCGTTTCAAACTCTATGTGACTGCGGGCATAAACAGGGACCAATAGGTAAGTAAGTATCATACCTCCTAATTCATTGGCCATGATAAAAGCAATGCAAAAGTGAAGCATAACAGACTTATTACTACTACCTGAGAAAAAAAAAGATACATTTGTAGAGTAGATGCGTAATAACTCGAATCGTATAATTTTCGAAGTAATATAACCCTTTTACTAGAATACGAACGTAAATTATAATGATACATGGTAAAGGGCAGCATCATGTGGTAACTAAGATTTTTGTGGTTAATTTACGTGGACATCCAAAACGGGAATATAAAAAAATAATAAATTAAAAGTCAGTCAGTCGGTCGAGTCAGGAAATTCAATTGAATCTATAGAGAAAACCATTATAGTCTGACGCGATCGGAAAAAAAAGGCATATCTCATAGCCATATGGCTTGCTGGCATGATCGATCGGGATCAGGTTACATCGTGTCTTAGTGTGTAGTGGGGAGGGGGGGAAAGGAAGGAAGGAAGGGAGGGAGGGTAGGCAGGTTAGCATCGGAGGCCCGATCAGAAAGAAGTAAGAGTAACTAGGTAAATTAATTTATGCTTACTTGTTCACATGATGGGGAACCCGATCGATAGTTTAGATGGCCACATATTAATAATATTTGCATTGGCCTGACTAGTTAGTTTTGGTTGTTCGTATATTGCTGGCTGTGGCGCAGTGCTACATGAGTAGATAGTGGTGGTCAGGTAATGTTGGTTTGTGTGTTGGCTATGGGAGACCCGTGTCGAGCATACTACTAGTTCACCTGCATGACCCCCCCCCAAAAGAAATCGTCCACTTGCGCATGATGCAATCTCTTCCGTTGTAATCATTCGCCTTGAGAAGTTCCTTGTTATGGTCATCTAGATGTAGATACTAGATAGATAGCAGTCAAAGACAGGCAGACAAGCAGGCGTGCAGCCCCTTTTGCGGGCTGATTTGTAAGCTCCATGACTCGCACTTAATATACCGTGTGGTAAATATAGCTGCCTTCAGCGGTGGCTATCCGAGGCTGCAAGCTCAGCAAGCATGGCGTCCGGGATCAACGACAATAATGCTCTTCACTATAGGATCCTCAGAGGGTCGATACTGAATAGTCAGTGAGTAGGGCAACGGGATGACTTGGAGAGGAGAGAGGGGAGTGGTGGGTGGGTGGAAGAGCGGCCCCAGGCGCAACGTGCTGACTCTTCAGAGCCAGGCTATGACGCTGCTTCACTATAAAATGGAGACTGAGGGCTAACGGCGATTCATTAAACAGTCAGATACTAGCACCGTTCCGGTTGTCATCTCCGTGGGCTGTTCGTTAGTCCCAGTGATAGACCTCCGGACCTCATATATCTTAGCCCCAACCACCCAAGATCCGCGCGCAGATTAACCCGCCGATGAGCGATGGTCGATAGGCGACGCTAACTAAACCCAAGTCTAGGCGATAGATAGACAGTCCCACTGCCCAAAGTTGGCAACAGTCGAGACGAGGATTACTGCCACTGTTTTTTCCGTACTGTTCGTTGTAGGCTACAACCCACGGCGGGTTGATGATCAACGGCCGTTATCAAGTCAGGAGCCACACCTTGACTGGATCCATCCTATGAAGGTACGGAATCTTCGAGGATCCTCTCTCCTCCCCCTATTCGTTTGTCTTCATGTCTTTTCCTGTTTTCGCTATTCTCTCTCTATCCAGCTTCCGAATCTTCTCTTCTGGAGAAGCGGCCAGAGGCGCTGGGGTCCACTGACTGTACCCACTTTCTTATTTGCCGGGTAAATTCGACGGGTTTCCAGTAATGGGTTTATTGCGGGCTTCCAGCCGGACGAGACGGAGGATTTCGAGAGTGAAAGTCGAAATACAGAAAATACAATCCAGGAGCTAAGTCAAGAGATGAACTCGAACCCGTCAATCAGATCCATTCTACCGGGAACCGCGCCACTCAGCCTGTATTATGTTGTGTTGAGGATGTACTCTACCTAGCGAGCGGGGACTCCCAGTTCGCAGTCCTTTTCCAAAGAATTTGGTTCATTTAATTTATCCCTTTTCGGGTGACAACCTTTGGAGGGCTAGATGGCCTTGGCTAATAAATGAATGCGAAATCCGCCACCTCATCTTTCCATATGGAGATTTCACGTACTTTAGTTGATATCCTCGACATGTCATCGAGATAATCTCATGTATCTATGCCTCACTAAGATCGCGTACTTTTTGCCACCATGCATAGTTAACCTTCCGGATTTGCGCTGATGCGTCCCCCAGTGATCCGTCAGGCCTGACCACCAAAGAGGTGGATCACACCACAGCCGGGTCCGTAGATGTGGTGGGGAAAGTCAACGTTCAACGGCTTGGAAATGTGTGCGTATCTGGCAGTTACCGTGCCGCGGCCTCCGAATACGCCAAGTCCTTCACTCGAGCTGCTGAGAAAGGAAAGCAGGATTGGGCTTGCCGGGCGTTTTGACACCACACCGATCTTATGGCTGTGGCTCCCAAACGGTTCTATTGCAGTCTGCTGGGCCGCGCCACTACATGATTCATGAGAGGGCAGCCTCTTTTTCTGCGGTCGTGTTAATCTCTGTTAATTTGTTATTTCTTATCCACTCCTGCTCCCTTCAAGGAACCGTGTCTGGTGGATCGGCCAACCGCCTCGTCGGTGCCAATATTGGAGCATAGATGCTCGAGAAGAAATGATTATAGATCTCTGTTGCCATCGATGTTTCGGGATTTGCTTACGACTCAATTCGGGGTATGCACGAGAGCCGAAGTAGATCCGTCTTGCGGCCGGCGCAAGATGAGGCGACAAGGGCCGAAAAAAAAATGAAGTGTGGAAAAAATTTGAAGACGGCGGGACACCCTACCCAAGACCGTTAGACTATTATGGCACACAATAATGCGGTCTTGCTTTCTTTTTTTTATTTTTTTCTTTATTGTATTTTTTTTTTCTTTTTCCTTTTCTTCTTTTTTGTACATTCCTTTTCTTCTTGCCCCCATTGTAGACAAGAAATTTGACAATATTATGGTCTTCATAGGATTCGTTCGTGTCGAGCTGACCCTGGAACCTGTATGCAAACTTGAAGTGGCGATCGTCACTGTGGCTCAAAGGTCCTATACACTCTCTTGTTCGTTCATAATCTCTCTATCAGTCATGCAGATAGCCACCCATGGGTGGGACAGACACCTTAGTTGTAAAGGATTTCGATGATTGACAGGGCCATCTGTCGAATTCGTCACCAAGACAAGGGTTTCTCCAGTCGAATCTTGGTACACAATACGCCAAAGACGGGAGAATGAATGGAGCCGATAAAGAATGGTCCACTTCACGTGTCTTCCAGGGGGTGCTGAAGGAATGGTGAAAGAGGAATGGACGACAAAGTGGGCCGGCCCTCCGTCTGATCCCCTGGACTCCTTAAATGGCAGGAGGAGGCCGAGGCTATCCTCAGCAACTGTACTCACAATACCGTACATACTTGACTGTAACAGCACTCTCTATCGAAGTCGTTCTATACACAGTGGAATACTTTGTAGGACATTCTGTTTCCGACTCGATGAACAAGCATGACCAGGGACATATTCAATACTGAATCGTGTATGGGTGAGTGTTGTTGCCGGTTGGAAGGAAGCCCTTCCGAACTCTACTGTGGTCATTGGCCCGGATTTCTTCTTTCTCTCTTGCAAATATAGCAATTGAATCCCTAATGGGAATATTTCATAACCATTGTTACTTACCTTTTAGCGAATCTTTGGGTACTAGGCAGTACTCAGGAACTTACTGATCTTGAAAGTACTGCACCTGTATTCGATGAGAGATCACTTATTCCCTCAAATGGGCTTTAGTGGACTTGAAAATTTGGAAAGTTACTCAGTAGAGACCATACTAGGTGGTTGGCGGAGACCGTTAGCGTCATTAAACGCGCTCCCAATCGGTCGGCCTGCAGGAAACCCAAGTCTTGGTAGTCCAAGGACAAAGCAGGCCAGAGGTGAAAACATCGGGTTTAGCCGTTTTTAACGAAACCCCAGCTGTCAACTTCCTGGTTTGGGATAAGTCGTCGGAGAGTTTACCGGGATGGATCCACTACCGTTTTGACACTGGAGCTCTCCCTACCCCCCTTCTGCTTTTTCTCCGGCCCATAGAGCTGTGCCAGCCTTTTGGCCCATGATCAATCGGCCCGTCTTATGCAAAACAACAAGGGCCAGGTCAAACCAAAGGACTGTGCAGAAATAGCTCGTAGCTAGCAGATCGAGATACTGGGCGCATTAGTACCTTTGGCATGACCCGGAGAGGCGTCTACACAACTATACCGAGGTATCTGGTCGTAAAAACAACTGCAAATCCTTGACTGATGACTCGTCGGTCAGACACCAAGAATAACGAGTCAGTGTAGAAAGTATCAAGAGGATTCCCCTCACTAATACAGACGTATTTGGCGCTGTAATGGCTGTTGGAGCGTCAGTAACCAGCCCCAGATGGCGAAAGGGGTGGCAGGCAATAGTGAGAGGAGTATCAAAATTCGAATGGACTCATGACACGATGTCTGCACCAATGAGCAGGTAACTGTTGAGGAGGATGCGATCGCTCGCATCCTGGGCTCTTGCCATAATGGTCGAAGCGCTGTCGCTCACTTTCCTCTCTGGACTGTATGATGATTTTTTGACCATCCTTGAGCGATCGTAGGACCCGGTCCCACCCCATCCCCCATTGCCGGTATCCATCAGCTGTACTTATCCTAATATTGATAGAGCGCAGTCAGCGAAAACGTTAGCGAGGTGAGACGGCGAGCCAACGGTCGCAACGGCCCTTGAACCATCTCTTTTGGCGCTGTCGATCCCATTATCCGCTTTTTGGCCCACCATTCTCCAACCCCATTGTGACACAGTAGAGCTGTTTTGGCTGCCATATGTCTTTTTTGATAGAACTCTTCCGATACCAACGGTGTGCTCTGAAAATACTCCTTACACTTTCAAGTCTGAAAGCCTGTTTGCTGGCTGGGGCTGTGTACAACACCCCACATTGTCCATCTAGCCCCATACTTGTCGTATTTCCGACTCCGTTATTGAACGTGGTCATCGAATATAGAGAACAGCCATAACAGTCAGCAGAGTACTGGTACCATGGCCCTTTACCAGGCCTCTGTGGCGTCGTGCGAAATAGCCACTCGGCGGTACTTTTATGAATTCGTAAGTGAAGTCCCACCTAGATAGCCCCCAAGGGGCCAGTATAACATGTACTTTGAAAGAGACGTAAAGCACTTTTTCGGACCCCCCTGTACAATATGATGGCTGATTAGTAGAAGCAGGATAGCTCTAGTGGGTCAGAAGAGTGAGTACACCACTAGTGACGGTATTAGTATGTAGATTGAGTGTCTCCGTTCCCAGGGAAGACATAGGTTCACGGCTGAAGCATTGGCGAACGATGGATGACCAACCATTTTCTTAGTGATCAATAGCCGGGATAACGCGCGCCGGATAATTCTTTCCCACAGTAGTGATCATTGTCCTTCACAAGACGCTTCTTGTATGATATCTAGCTATTTCAGAGGCCATGCAAGCGCGTGACATGTCTCCCACGCGTTTCAGGCTTGGGATAGATCGAATTCGCGGGCCCTTGCTGTAACTTTTTAGTGCCGGCTGATGCCCGAGAAATACTTAAACTGATGTACGCTAAAAGCAACTGGTCGCCCTTGGACCGCCTTGGTCTGGTGGCTTCCCTGTTGTTAGGTTAGACCCGTCAACGTTAAGAGGCTTCCTGGGGCTGCGGCAAAGCCTAAGCTCCGGATGCTGGGTTTATCACCCGGTGCATGAGTCACTGCTTCCCAGCCTTCCAGTCGCGATACAGTCACAGTGCTTGGAATTCAAGAATGTTACTGCCCTTTGGTGCGGAGGATCCGTTATACAGAGCGAGCGACACATCTGGGGGGCCGTTGTAAGAGGGGCTAAAACAACTTCATGGATAGTTGGTGAAGAGGGGTTGGACGATGTGTCTCAGCGGTAGAATACGTCGACTGTCACTTTCGTCAAGCCCGGTCAATGTGATGGTATTGCCAGTACCTAGTAAGTACTCTGTATGGAGATACTGGCCAGTGCGTCCGCCTCACCCAATCAGAGCCGGTAAAAAGCTTGGGACATCGCCCCATGCAAAGATTTCCCGAGGATGCTAATCCGCTTTGGGATTTAGCGAGCGCTCCGGCCACAGCGTTCTCTGGTTGTATTCAGAGATCTAAACCAGACACCACTGCGCTCCCAAGTGATTTTATGTTGCATAAAAGCTCGTACGCTTAAAAAATCAATGTGGCGCACACAATAGCCGGGCAGGAGCTGCAATCAGTCAACTATGTCCGCCTGATTAAGTTGGTCAATATTGGGGGCGACCGCTGGCAGATCTATTTTCGCTGCCGCCATTCAGTCTGTGCACCGGTAGATACGACCAAAAGTACCAAATGAACAGAGAGGCCTGTTGTCATAGCTTTGGTGTTCCTGGTTTGTTGCATCCGGACAGAACTAATGCGGGAAGTATATCTCGCGAGGGGAACCCTCCATGGGGATGAATTATTGACGAGGAGAATTTAGTCTGTAGGATGAGGTCATGGCCTTGGGTCCCCTCCCAACATCACATGTAAAACGATCGATGGAACAGGATAGTCATCAGAGAAAACCGTCCAATCCTTTCCTTCCAGGGATCTCCGACACCATGCGCTGGACCTGGCGGAAGTGATTACCGTAGCCTTGCTAATTCGGGTAAAGATCGGTCACTTTCAGTTGATCCCTCAAGGAACATTTTTAGCGCCATCTGCTGGAAGTCAGCTCAGCTTCCCTAGCCTCGCCATGCAGTGCAGTTCGCAGAAGACTGTTCCCTTCCACAAAGCTAGAGTGGGAAAGCCAAGTTCAACGGTGCTAAATATTACGTACCCGGGGCCGGTCGCAAGATCGAGCAGCTCCACGGCAATGGCAATGGACCGGCAATAGTTTCCAGTAGCCATGTCTGGGTTCGATTGGGGCATGCCAAAAGTTGCACTAGCAAGCAAGCCACTAGAACGAACCTATTGTACTGGTAGTTGGTACTGCTGAGTACTCTTCAATCTAGATTGAGGGGCTTTGATCCTCTTTGAGTCAGATCTCTCCACGGAGTACCGGTGGTAAACATGGGTCTGAAGCGTCATGGGATAAGGATGGTAGTGTGAGTTAGGGGGGTTTCCCACAGTTCATATTAACATTTTGGTCGTTGTCTGACTCGTAGCTGCATATCGGTTGCCCACTTTCTCATCCAACTGTCTACAATACGTATGCGACATGCATTACTAGGTGATTACACACCCTACAATAAAGGAGGGAGGGAGTGAAAAGAAAAAAAAAAAACTAACACGAAAACTTTGTAAGAACTGATATTCACGAAATGCTAACTCTTGGATTCGATAAATTCGAGGGGCAGAAGTCTTATTAAGATCATAGTCGGCATACTTCTTCGATCTCAGAGCCGTTGGAACGATGTATTACATCACTCAACCCAGATCATGGTTCTGAGTGAGATGTAACCGCAGAAATGACCCCGTCATATGAAGCACCTCATAAAATTGTCAGAGCACAGTGGTTGTTCTCACTGTTACACCGTATCCTGATAATAACACACCTGTAAGGAGCGAGATTCAAAGTCAAGATCAGTCTGAGCCAAAGCTTGTTCTCTGCAGTAAGCCCGTATCGTATGCATTCAAGATCCACTGTTCCAATATCCTTTCTGGACGTTCCATTTGGTACAATGACCCCCTCCGAGAAAAGTGAGAAGAGTCATGAGCAAGAGGATATCATCTCGCATACATTAGGCGAGGCTTCTAAAACGTAATACGACCCTAAAGAAAAGGAAAGTAGATGAATTAAATTAAGAAAAAAAAATCGATAAAAAAAAAAAAACAACAAAGACCGCCTATAATCGCGGGCTTAATTAATTGATCTATGGATGCGCAAATCTACGATTTAGAAGTTGGGACCACCATAGATTGACTGGTTACGTCAATATCTTGACCAGCAGACTCATGCATAGACATCCGTTACACTAGATGATACTGGCGATTGGCGTCGATCTGAGGCCTATACGATAAATAACGCGCCCGTTCGTTGGCCATCGCCAATCATGTGGCCTAGATCTCGGCTCGGAGATGGATCGTCCCCCAAAGACCTGCAACGTGCATGCCACGGTTGAACAAGTAACAACGATAAAATACTGCCTCTGCCATCCCTTTGGTTAAGTAAAGGGTATAACCATGTCTTCGAA